GTGGTTCGGGCTCATCTCCGCGATGTGCGGCGCCCAGGGCCTCGGCCCCGCGGTGTCGGCGGCGTGCCCGAGGGTGCTGGCGGCCCCCCTCGACGCCTCCGCCTGCCCCGTGGGCTTCCTGGCCCTGGCGCTCTGGTGCTCGCAGGACTCGCAGGAGGAAAGGTATCGACACCGCGAGCCAGGGCCTCGCTTTCGCCTTCTCGGGGCTCCTGGGATGCCCTCGAGGTAAGCCTCGAAATTTTGGTCGGAGCGCACTCCGGGAGAGGCCCGGGGTGTGGCGGCATCGGAAACCGCCGCACGCCGCGGTAGGGACGACGACGACGACGACGACGACGACGACGACGACGACGACGACGACGACGACGACGACGACGACGACGACGACGACGACGACGACGACGACGACGACGACGACGACGACGACGACGACGACGACGACGACGACGACGACGACGACGACGACGACGACGACGACGACGACGACGACGACGACGACGACGACGACGACGACGACGACGACGACGACGACGACGACGACGACGACGACGACGACGACGACGACGACGACGACGGCGACGACGACGACGACGACGACGACGACGACGACCGCCGTCGTCCCGAGGCCTCTAGAGATCAACCCAAGTCCCTGGAGGCCTATGGAGTAGCCAACCAGAAGCGTCGGAATGCCTCGATGCTCGACCTTGGGCCCTCGAAGCTTGACCCTGCAACGTCGATCCTCGGTCGGCAACCCTCCCAGGGCCACTCCCTGAGCGCGCAGGCAGTCTTTGTCGCCCCCAGTCCACGAGTCCCTTCCCGAAACTGCCCGTTCAGAGGAGAGCCGCGGACACCCCCTAGCGGGACGTCGGAACCCATCGGTGAGTAGCGGCATCGGTATCTTGTGGTCTCCCCGAGGACATGCTCCGCAGGGGCGAGGCACGGAGCGCGGCCGCGGCGGCGGCGGTGGTGGCCGAGCTGCTGCCCGGCGTCGCCGAGTGCCTGGGCCACTCCTTCTGGCCCCTGGAGCTGCAGGAGCTGTGGCTAGCGCAGGGGAGGAGGAGGAGGAGGAGGAGGAGGAGGAGGAGGAGGAGGAGGAGGAGGAGGAGGAGGAGGAGGAGGAGGAGGAGGAGGAGGGAGGAGGAGGAGGAGGAGGAGGAGGGAGGAGGAGGAGGAGGAGGAGGAGGAGGAGGAGGAGGAGGAGGAGGAGGAGGAGGAGGAGGAGGAGGAGGAGGAGGAGAGGAGGAGGAGGAGGAGAGGAGGAGGAGGAGGAGGAGGAGGAGGAGGAGGAGGAGGAGCGGGAGGAGGTGGAGGAGGAGGGGGCGGGGGCGATAACGCAACGATCGCCGATCCGTGTCTGAGCCACTTCAAAAAGGATGAGGATGAAGATGATGATGATGATGATGATGATGATGATGATGATGATGATGATGATGATGATGATGATGATGATGATGATGATGATGATGATGATGATGATGATGATGATGATGCTGATACTGATGGTGCTGATAATGCTGACAATGCTGATGATGCTGATGATGCTGATGATGCTGATGATGCTGATGATGCTGATGCTGATGCTGCTGCTGATGATGCTGCTGCTGCTGATGACGATGATGATGATGAGGAGGAGGAGTAGGAGGAGGAGCAGGCCCAGACGCCTTCGGGTCAGGAACAAATCACGACGGACGGTTTTTGATAATCGTCGGCCTTTGGGGTCTCTTTCCATGCCTCGGGGCCGTCAGTAAACGACTCAGCATGAAAGACTGGTCCCTGGGAAGGGCTCCAGACTTCTGGCGGTGAGCCCTCGATGTGTCGCCGGTTCCAAATCGATGTCCCCCCCCCGAGCCAGTCCCCTTTTATCGTTGCCCCTCAACTTATGACCAGCGCTTCTCGGAGAGGGAGGAGGTGCGGTCTGCGCACGAGCACACCCCCTCGCGCGCACGGAGGGCAGCATGCGGCTCCGAGGTCGCTCGCAGGTCGACCGAGAAACGTTGGCAGCATCGTAGGGCCCACGGAGGCTGCCACTGCACGTGTCGAGTAGCAAGTCACGGGAGCCTGGCGTGTCTTCGTGATGCCGTTTTTAGAGCGCACTCGCGTGCGCCGGCGTCTGGCAATCGATGAGAAGGCGTCGATTCTGCGTCGATCAGCGTTGATCTGGCCCCTGGAGCTGCGGGAGCTGCGGGAGCGTGGGATCCGACTGCGCGAGCAAATTGTAACACTAAGTTGGGCACGTCCCTGTACAGGAGGAGAATTCGAAAATAGTATGGACATGACAGATCTTTGGACTGTTTTTGATTGTTCTCCAAACATTCGCCCGTAGGAGGGCATGCCCGACCGAATTGTAACACCGTGGAGCAAGGCCCGAGCCCCGGACCCCACCTGTCTGCGGCAGCCTCCGCGCCGCATCGGCCCGCGAGGGCCCCGGGTGCCCGAAGCACCGAGGGCGAGCACGCCCGCTGTGAGCAAACGGGCGACCTCCAGAAAGCGGGGTCGTCTGTGCTGACATTGGCGCGTAAGCTGCCCGCGTAGGGTAAGTCGGGCGCGTCCCTTTACAGGAGGCATGCTCAAGAATAGTCCGAAAGAGGCTGGGGACGATTCTGGGATTATTTTTTTGAAGAATTTGAGCATTTCTGGATGTTTTCCCCAATCAGAGCTTGCCTCTGTAGGGGTCCTAGCGGATTCATTCCCCAATCAGAGCTTGCCTCTGTAGGGGTCCTAGCGGATTAAAGGGTTAGGTGAGGTTTGTCGCCGATTTCGGTGGCCGGGCCCGGGTGCCCGGGTGCCCGGGTGCCTGGGTGCCCGGGTGCCCGGCGGTGCCCGGGTGCCCGGGTGGCCGGTGAGGTGCGTGGCCGATTTCGGTGGCTGGGCCCGGGTGCCCGGGTGCCCGGGTGCCCGGGGGTGCCTGGATGCCCGGGGGTGCTCCACAGCCCAATAGCCCAATAGCCCAGTAGCCCTATAGCCCTATAGCCTTATAGCCCTACAGCCGTATAGCACTATGGCCCTATAGCCCTCGAGCCCTAGAGCCCTATAGCTCTAGAGCCCTATAGCCCTATAGCCCTATAGCTCCATAGCCCTATAGCCCTATATAGCCCTAAGGTCCTATAGCCCCTATAGCCCAATAGCCCAATAGCCCTATATCACTATACCCTTATAGCCATATAGCCCGTATAGCCCCATTGCCCCAACAAAAATTTGATTGTTTTTTTTCTCCAGTATCTTATGGTTAGGTGAGGTGGGGCGCCGATTTGGTGGCCATTGGCCGGGTGCCCGGGGGTGCCCAGGGGTGCCCGGGGGTGCCCGGGTGGCCGGGTGCCCGTGTGCCCGTGGGTGCCCGGTGCCGCAGGATTTCGGTGGCCAGGTGCCGCGGGTGCCCGTGGGTGCCCGGGTGCCCGGGTGCTCGGGGGTGCCCGGAGGTGCCCGGGGGTGCCCGGGTACCCTATAGCCATATAGCCCTATAGCCTTATAGCTCTATAGCCCAATAGCCCAATAGCCCACATAGCCCATATAGCCTCATAGCCTGATAGCCCTATATCCCTATAGCCTTATGGCCCTATAGCCCTATAGTCCTATAGCCCCTATAGACCAATAGCCCAATAGCCATATAGCACTATACCCCTATAGCCATATAGCCCTATAGCCTTATAGCCCTATAGCCCTATAGTCCTATAGCCCCTTTAGACCAATAGCCCAATAGCCATATAGCACTATACCCCTATAGCCATATAGCCCATATAGCCCTATAGCCACATAACCCTATAGTCCTATAGTCCTATAGCCCCATAGCCCCAACAACAATATGACTGGGTTTTCTCTCCGGTATCATTTTATTTGTCGTCCACAATCCGCCTGTAGGAGGACATGCCCGACCTGAGGTTGGGAGGATCGGGTTGGGAGAAATGAGGATATCCTTACCCGTAGGCGGCCGAAAGTATCGTTCGTTGCATCCGAATGCTGCTGCTCATGCCCTCTATTCTCCCAACCTCTCCCTCCCGACACGATAAGTGATCTCCTCACCGGTGTGGACAAGGCTGCCCGCGTGAGGTCGCGCGCAAGCGCTCTCGCTTCAGATGCGGCGTGCCCCGCGGGTGGCCCGCGTGAGACGCCGCGTAAGGTCGCCACGTCATCTCGCGTAAGACATGTTTTTGATCGTCGCCCAGACAGCAACGCCAGGATCTCAGGGGGGCAGAATGCATGCACCGCGGCAGCAGCTCCCCGTGGCTCTCCCCAGCGCCAGCGCGGAGGGGCCGCGTCGGAGGTGGGGGCCGGCCGCCAAGGCAGCGGCGGGCCTCCCCGTGGCCTCCGTCCCCTGCCTGGGCCGCTCTGACGAAGTTGCCACGCCAGGACCTCGCCGAGGCACTCTGCCCAGGCATGATCGCGTCGTGAAATCTCAGGGCGGGATGTCTTTCGGCCATTTTCGGCCTCAGGGGGGCCCTCGCCAGGCCTCGGGACCGTCAACGAGACGACTCAGGATGAAACACCGGCCCCAGGGCAAGGGTCTGGACTTCGGGGGACGCCGCATTGAAAAAATCAGGACGTCGCATTTTGTTGACGGTCCCGGGGCCCGGCGAGGGCCCCCAGAGGCCGAAAACTGCGAAAAGCCTCCGTCCCATTTTTCCCTACCTAGGCTCTGCCTAGAAGGGTTCTTACTCTCTAGCTTAAAGGGGCCGGGCAGTGGAAAGCGCCCCGGGCGGTTCCCCCAGTCCCCTGGGAGCGGTTCCCCCCAGTCCCCTGGGAGCTTTAGCTTTAGCTTTAGCTTTAGCTTTAGCTTAGCTTTAGCTTAGCTGTAGCTTAGCTGTAGCTTAGCTTTAGCTTAGCGTTTCGCTTAGCTTTTCGCTTAGCGTTTAGCTTAGCGTTTAGCTTAGCTTTAGCTTAGCTTTAGCTTCGCTTGAGCTTAGCTGTAGCTTAGCTTTAGCTTAGCTTTAGCTTAGCTTTAGCTTAGCTTTAGCTTAGCTTTAGCTTAGCTGTTGCTCAGCTTTAGCTTAGCTTTAGCTTAGCTTTAG